GTGCGCCCACCCCAGGGCTGGGATGGGGCTGCTCCGTCCCGCCACGTGCCGAACGGAACCCGAGCCCCAAGCCCAGCAGCGCTGCAGCCCCATTGCTGCCCTTAGTGCTGCAGAGACCCCGGGGTGCAGGCGTGGGCTGCAGGGCCCAGTCCCACTCACCAGGCACTCTCCACCTCCAGCTCCTCCAGCTCCTCTTGCAGGCGCCGTTTCTCCTGGCGCAGCACCTGGCAGACAAAAGCGTGAGCGCCGTGCCCGCTGCAGCCCTCCTCCAGGTCCCCAGCCTGGGGGCGGGCAGCCCCGATCCCCTCGCCCCTCCACACTACCTCAATCTCCTCGCTCTCGGCCTGCAGCTGCTTTTCCAGCTGGGCGATGAGCTGCTTCTCCTGCAAGACAACAGCTGGGCCATGTGGGATGGCTGTGCTGGGACCCATGGACCCAAGGGACCGGGACCGACGTCCTCCTCACAGCCAGAGCCGTGAGGACGCCGAGCTCTGAGGACGAGCCCCCGCTCCACCCTACCTGCTCCAGCTGCTCTCGCCTAGCAGCCTCTCTTTCGTCCTGCACTTTCCGGCACTCCTGCGGGCAAGGAGGAGAGGCCATCAGGGCACCGGCGCTCCCACGGAGCTCCGTGCCGCCGTCCCCTCCCACCTCCTCCATCGGGGCGACTGGCGCCCGCAGGGCTGCAGCTGCAGCCCCGCACGGGGGGACTTCTCCCACCCCACGCCCCACGGCAGCACTGCTGAGCCCGCACACCCACACCGGCCCGTGTCGCTGCATCCGCTCACCTTCATCAGGAGTTCCTTGGCTTCAGCTCTGTGGTTCTCCACAGCCCTCTCATGAGCCTGTGGGAGGAGAGAGGAGCGGCGCTGGCACCGAGGCGCTGCCGGCAGCTCTGCATCCCGCCGGAGGTGCCCGGCCCTCTGCTGCCGCGCCACAGGCAGGGCGCCCTCCAGCCGGCAGCTCGGCCCGCCGGCCCTTCTGTGCCCGCCCACCCAGAGCTCACCTCCATCAGCTCCTGCAGCAGCTTCACGCGCTGCAGCGCTGTTAAATTTCCGCTGGCAAACTGGGCCCGCATGGCTGCACCGCTCGCACAGCTGCTCGCAGACCTGCACACCCGCAGAATGGGGCCGGCAGGGTGAGCGCTGACCCACTGCCCCTGCCCCGCCCCGGGGCCTCTGTGAGCTCAGCACGGCATTGTGACATCACCAGCACAGGAGGGTCCTTGGAGATCATTAAGAACCACAGCATGGATGCGTTGGGAAAGTCCTGGAAGGTCATAGAACCATAGGATGGTTTGTGTTGGAAGGGTCCTGGAAGATCATTAAGAACCACAGGATGGCTTGGTTGGGATGGCCAGCGTTGGGAGTTCCTTGATGATCAAAGAACCGTAGATTGGTTTGTGTTGGAAGGGTCCTGGAAGATCAGAGAGGCACAGGATGGCATGGGTTGGGATGTTTCTTGGTGATCATTGAACTATAGAACGGTTTGTGCCGCAAGGGTCCTTGAAGATCACAGTTTGTTCTGTCTGCCGGAACATCTGCTCCCTCTGATGGGATTTCTGGAATCGGCTTAGAATTGACGTCCTCTTGTTGAAGATAAGATGGCAAAACGGATGCCTCAGCATGACGTAACATCAGTGGGAGCCGGTTTGGGCAGGCCCCCTTAAAAGGTTGGAAATTGACAGCGAGGATGACTGTTAGCCTTCATCTCATGACCACCAGAGATGTGAATTATTTCTTGGAATTTCTGCCCATGTCCTTGGAATGTGATGGATACGTACATGCTACGCCTATAAATCTGCAGTCCCTGCTTCTCTGGCTGTGCGTGTTGGTGGAGCGATCCCACGCACCCGGCTGTAATAAAGGCATCGCCTGCTTGACGCAACACATGCCGTGTCCCATTCCTGAGTTGGTTTCCTCAGCCTCACCACGGCCTAAGAGAATAAGCTTGTTGGACTAGACACTGTTCAGCTTTCAAACCCCATGATTTTAAATGAGATGCCACGCTCCAGGAAGCTGAGGTGCTGAGCTTCTTTTGACTCAACTGGCTCGTAGAGCTACGGTGAGATATTTCCTTTATTGCAGTCTAAACGGAGTAGGATGGGCTGCTGCTTTCCTTCTGCAGTGCAGAGCAGTCCATCCATCCCAGCACCACCGCCAGTCGCCCACACGGCCCAGTGCTGGGGACGGCGGTTCCGCCGGCGCCGTGACCGGACTCAGCTGAAAGCCACTCCGCCCCACCCTGGCATGAAAAGCAGGAAAGTGGCGAGGCGTGCGGAGGGGGCGGGAATGGAGGGGTTGCTCCAGATGTTGCTGTGTTCCCTTCAGTGGCCCAGGCCAAGCTCGCTGAGCTGCTCCTCCTTGGAGCAGGGGAGCGGTGCAGGTGCGATGAGCTGGCCATGCACAGCACACCCTTTCCTTGCTTTTTGTCTCAGCATGACGTAACATCAGTGGGAGCCGTAAGCCATTACAGCCGTGAGCTGTAATGATTCAGCATATCCTGCTTTCTTATTGTTCAGTTGGAGAAGGCAGATGCTGTCACACATCAATCAGGAAGCACTTGGATGAGCCAGCCCTCTGCTTTTCACAACAGTCATGGTTACTGCCGGCTCTGACACCTTACCAGGAGATGCTTCAGTTCATTAACGTGGACTTAATTCCTTCCATCAGCAGCTACTCCTGAACTGACCTTCATTGATACAATGACACCGCCAACTTCTAGCACGAGCTGACCTGCAAAACACAGAAAAGAGAGCAGGATGACAACCAACACAGAGATAACACGTTTTAATATTCACGAACAAAAAAAGCAATAACAATACAGACGGGCAGCTGCAGCAACACAGCAGTACATAAAGAAATGAAAACCTGGCTCGGCCCCGGAGCGGAGCGGCCTGGCCCCAGAGCCCCCACCTCCAGATGCCTCATTCAGCACAGATCCATCATCTCAGCAACCACCTACTACCCAACCCGCCAGCGTTCCTGTGACCTGCCATCAGCTGACGAGACAGAAGTAAGATCACCATGATCTTCCAAGCCACGAGATGGGCCAGGACACCACAAAAGGATTCACAATACTTTAGTTGGGGTCTCATGAAGGCAGAGTAGAGAAAGACGATCGCCTCCCTTGCCCTGCTGCCCACCGCTCTTTTGTTGCAATCCAGAATACTGTTGGCTTTCTGGGCTACCAGCACACACTGACACAGGTAAAGCTTTTTGTCTACCAGGGAAGCCCAAGACCTTCTTGGCAGGGCTGCTATTGAGGAGTTCTCCCACCATTTGGTAGTTGTGCTCTGGAATCCTGCCTTTAGGCATGAAAGCCAGGAAAGCATTGCTGGTGAAGACAGAGGCAAAGAAGCCATGAGGTACATCAGCCCTCTCTGCTAACACATTAACACAACAGTAGGCCCACACCATCCCTGTCTACTCTTTTACTTGTAAAGAAACTCTATCAGCTGGAGCCTTCACACTCCTCTGCAAGTATCAGGTCCATGTCAGGTGAAAGCAGCCAAAGCTGCCCTGACTATCACAGCCCTGACCAGCTCCCTGTTGGCCAGTGTGAGACCCAGCTGAGCATCACCTGTGTTTCCCCCAGCAGCTGTGTGAAGAAGTTGGCTGAACTCCGTGGCCTGTTGTTCTGCTCAGCCAGAGAATGCCAGGGGCAATTGCAGCTCCCATGGGCAGCTGCTCGTTGATCTGCAGACACCTCAGATTGCTGACAAAAGACTTCTGCCTGCTCTCCTTGATCAAGCAGTTGGTAAGCAGCCTGATCAAGACCACGCAACAGTTAATGATGTTATTCTATAATAGCTCAAGTGACCAAAATGAGAGAATCTTTTCCATGGTGTACTGCACATGAGTCGTAGGCTCATTCACTTCTGGACACTTAAGGATACAGTTTGCAAAGGAATCCCTCGTTTTATCTCCATCTATCACTAGCTGTATCCAATAAAGTCCTACAAGAAGACACAAAAGCTGGGACAAGCTTGCTGATAACAGCTGAGGACACGCAGGAATGTCCATGACACAACAGCCACTGCAGTCAAGGAAGATCTAGAAAATACAGGTGATGAAGCAGAAGGGAAAGAAATAAGCTTAGTCATGCTCCTGTGGCACACGACTCCATTTGTTCAGCTAAATCCCTTTATAGGCTGCCCTCGTTATGCACAGCAGGGACAGTTTCAGTTGTCCTAGATGTGGGTATCTACTGACAGTGCAGGTGTTGTTGGACAAAGGAATGTCCTTCCACAGTCTGGGAGTAACAACCTACATTTCACCAGATATTTGCATCTGAACAGCTCCTTCCTATCCTTAATCTCCACATGTGAGCATTAGTGGCTCCCTAATTAGCAGTAGTGAGGTACCTCACAGGGAGGTGTCTATGTTGTGGACATCTGATCTGAGGCAAGAGGAACTGAGGGAGTATTGGGAGGGGGGGAGAGGATCAGAATAGGGGAATAAGGAGGGGAGGGATGAGGTGAGGGTGGGGAAGGGACCCTGGGGGTAAAAATGGAGAACTGGGGGGTGGTGTCAAAAAGGAATGGCGGGGAACTGGAATTGGGGGGTGGGGGAGCTCTAAAGGTCAGTGTTGGGGGGGAATCGAGGGAAGAGCGTGACCCTGGGAGTCAGAAAGAGGGACTGGGGGAGTTTATAGCAAAACCGTGGAGGGGAACGAGGCAGCGATGTACCCTGGATTGGGGATGTGGACGAACACAGCGCACCTCCCCACACTGAGCAGAGGCCCTGAGCACCACAGAGGCCCCACGAGGCCAACGCAAAGCGGCCCCCGCCCCGGTGTCCCCCCGAACACCCACTTGTAGAAGTTGAAGCGGGCGCTCGGAGCCCGGGGCTGCCCGGCACCACTTCCGCACGGCCCGCTCGTCCTCGCGGCGCAGGGTGATGACGTCACACGGCCCCGCGCATCTCGCTCCAGTCGGCCCCGCAGCTCCTCCCTCGCCCGGGCCCAACGCGCCGCTCCAGTAACCGCCCTCGGCGCGGGCAGAAAGTCATCAACCTTTTGTTCTTATTATTACTACTAAAAATCTCTGCTGTCTTTTGCGAATTGCCGTGAATTTCCACTCGGCACACGCAGGTGCGTTCTGCGTTTCCTCAGTTGCTCCGCGCCTCCAATCTGACACGGCCGAGGGCTTTGCGGGGCTCCTCCTGTAGATACAAAGCGGGAAGCGCCGCGGCACATCCGCACGGCTCCCTTTGCCAGCCGCAGAAACCTGACTTGCTCTGCTCCGTTCTCTGGGCTGCCGTGGGACGCCAGAACGGCGCTGCTGATGGGGGAAGGCAGCTGCCCTCCTCCCTCCCGCCAGCAGTCGTCCCTCCACACCCGCAGGAGGACGGTTTCCCTCCAAGCAGCCTGCCGCACGCACTGGCCATACCTGCACGTGGAAGGTCTGGGCGATCTCTGCGTCCACATCGTAAACAATACCAGGAGTGTTTCACCTTTGTCCTTATCTGCTCCCTCGAAGACAAGAGATGATGGCGGTCACACTTAAGTAGGCCATGCGAAAAAGAACGTGCCGAGGCCGAAGGTGGGAGCCCCTCCACCCCCACCTCAGCTCTGGCAGAATTGGAGCACAAAGGAGGGTGAGCCTGAGTCAGGGCACGTGGAGCAATTGCTCCCAGCTGCTTGGCCATGAAGAGCAGCAGAGGGGTCTTATGGGGCTCTGTGGCAAAGCTTTTCCTCTGGGGCTTTCCTCCAGAAGAAGTAGTGGGTGGAGACTTACTGAGATTGCAAACTCTTTGAGGGCGCTGTTGACTTTCCCGGAGGGAGAAACTGCCTTGGAGATGTGCCAGGCGGTGAAAGCTGTGGGCTGAAGATGCTGATTCTGAAGGTGCTTGTGCTGGAGCTTGAATTTCAGCCTGCAGATAGCTGGCTGTGGTAGCTGGTCTCTGACAGTGGAGCCCAGGCAGCACCAACAACTGGCGTGCCAGGTAATTTCTGTCCCGCGTCATTCACCAGTGTCACTGTGTGCCTGCAGGCTCTTGCTGCCTGCCCTTGCACACCGGGTCAGCAGCAAAACCTGAGTGTGTGGGCACAGAGCATGTGTAAAAGAAGTCAGGGATGGCTCTTTGGAAGTAGCTGACCTCAGTGGGCTGTGCAGAGTTGTTCCAGTGGTGTGCCAGAGAAGGTACTTGCAGACATCTGTGACACTGCTCCCACAGGGGTCAGCTGCTCAGCGGGGTCCTGTGTGGTAGGAGCCTGCAGGAGTGTTTCTCCCCAGGGCTGGCTCCAGCTGTGGCCTGCGCTGGCTGGAGCCCAATCTCCAACCTGGGGGGTGTCCTGTGGAAGAGCTCAGGACATGCGCGATGGGGAAAGCGTGAGGGATTCTGCTCTGCAGTGCTCCCCACAGACAAAGCCTAGATCCCAGGGCACAGCCCCAGCCCTCGGCCCAGAGGGTAGTGCCTGTGCAGCCTCTCCCCACCCAGCAAGAAGTGGAAGTCCTGGTGCTTAGGCACAGAGACAGAGGCGCCGCTAATGAAAATCTTTTGGGTCCATGGAGCACACTGGGAGATCATCTGTAGCAGGTGAAGGGACCGTGGGACATTGTCGCGTTTCTTCCATGCATGAATGCGGGAAAAGCACAGAGGCTGCTGTTCACAAATCTGTGCGGAAGCGCCACGTCGCAGCCATGGTAATGTTCTCAGCTGTGCTGCTGTCTGCGCTGCTGCTGGCCTGTGGTGCTGTGATATGGATGTGCCAAAAATACCCATGGGTTGGCTTTTCCCCAAAACACCCGATTGCTGCATTTGGCAATGAAGCATCTGTAGTGCCAGGATCCTGGACGGCCAGATCAGCTGCTGGCAGTGCACTGCCAGGACTAACAGCTCAGATGAAGATGAAATTGCTAACCGGAGATACAGATTGTTGTACCAGGAAATTGAGGCTGATGAAGAAGAGGTACCTACCCCATTGTGTAGCCTAGTCTAGAGAAAGAGTTCCTCAGGTCAAGCATAACCTTGTCGTTTAAAACCAATCCATCTGCTTGTTTCCTGCTACCCCTCCTAAGCCCTTGCAATTCTGTCTTGAAAAATTGTCACGCAGCTGTTCATAGTGTGGTGCCCTTCAGCCGTGTAATGAAGCAGGCTGGCAGAAATGCGTTTCAGGAAGGTGAATGAAGCTTCACACTGTGAAGACACACAGTGTCTCACAGCTTTTGTACTTTATATGTATAATTTAAAATGCATCTCCAGTCTTTTCTTTTTTCTATTTGTAAAAATACTGAAGCCACTGCGTTTTTTTCATTCATTTTGGTGTTCTCTTTAAGCCTGTGAAATCTGTTATCGAATAGTACTGTCATCGAGTATCTTTCTGCCTTGCCTTTCCTTTTGTTATTTCTTTTGTTTTATGTCTGGCCTATTTTTATTTTGCAAATAGAAATGTCTTATCCGTGTTCTCCTTTAGTAAACAAATTATGACTTGTTCTGATCTTCACTTCTACTTGGGCATCCAGCACGGCATTTAGTGGATTTGCACAGGTTAGAAACAAGCAAGTTTTGAGAGTTTTTTTCTGTTTTGTTGGGATGAGATTAAGACTAGTTGCACAGTTTTAAAAACTCTGCTCTGCAGACCAGCTGCACAATAATGCCTTGCTGATACAAATCCTGAACTTGTCTGCTCTCAGAAAGTCTTCCTGGATGTTCCTAGAAGGTTGCTGATATTCTTGGCGCTCTTGGCCTAGCTGAATTTAATTGGAAAACTCCCACTAGCTTAGCAGGACTGTCTTCTTGTTTTCCATATGAAAGAACTGGATTAGTATTTTTGTTGCTCTCTTTTTCGGATTTTTCTAACAATCTCAAAAGCCTGTAAAGCTTGGCTTCCTCACAGATTTCACACCTGTTCAGTGACTCTATGTATTTATGCATTTATACATGAAATTAGTTTTATTTGTTTCTGCAATATTGTTTTCACCTAACACATGTTTTAGTCTGGGAGTTAAATCTGAGTTGTTTATTTACTGCTGTGATAATGCTGAGGATCTGCACGAGGCACTGCAGCAGTGCAGTGCACACTTACACTCTCAAACTCCAGGGCCCCCATCCCAAAAGATAATGCAGATAATCTGGAGCCTTCTTAAATTCCAGCAGCTGGAATTCAGAGGCTGGCTTACCCACAGCATGCTCTGCACACCACTGTTTAGATATGCACACAAAAAAGCTGGGCATCTGCAAGGCTGAAAACGAATCTTTCAGTGCTTATTAATTTTGCTCCAGGCCTTTTACATTAGTAAAGTATTCAGAAGGAAGGGCCAAAATACAAAGCTGCCACCACTTTCTCTAATTAATGCATATCAAGCTTCACATCTCTAATTACTGAGCAGTGTCTGCGCTGTGCAAATAAAAGCCCAGAGTCCAGAGGATGTGTAAGCAACTCCGAGCTCTGCACTCCCTGTGCACGTGCAGTCTGGCAAAATAAACTTCTGGCATTCGCTGTTCAGAAGTGCAGTGTGCCTGAAGCAAAGTCCTTGCAATTCACTTCTATTCAGAGAAGTATTCTTCACCTATTTGAATAACTTGAAACATTTTAGAGTCGTGGAACACTTTTGAAAAAGGAAGGTCTTTAATATTGATATTCATACCTATTTATCAGGGGGAAATTCTTTACCCAGAGAGTGGTGAGGTACTGGAACAGGCTGCCCAGAGAGGTTGTGGATGCCCCATCCTTGCAGGTGTTCAAGGCCAGGTTGGATGGGGCCCTGGGCAGCCTGGTTTAGCGTTAAACGGGGAGGTTGGTGGCCCTGCATGTGGCAGGGTGTTGGAGATTCACAATCCTTGAGGTCCCTTCCAACCCTGGCCATTCTGTGATTCTGTATGATACTGTGATTTAGATTATTGATTTTCCATCCAAGCTCAGCTATTGATGATTATGCCTGAGTAAGCCATAAAAAATCAGGTCTTTACTAGTTACATCCCGTGACAAATATTGTTGCTTCGTTGTTTTTATTTTCTATAGGTAGGATACCACTGCATTTACAGTGCAATCAAATGAGAATGTGACAGAGACTCTGGTAAGTGGTGGATTTTGCTTCTTTTCTAAATGGTGTGTTTAAAAAAAAAAAAAAAAAAAAAAAAAGGTACTGTTTTTTGCTTTGTACAAAAATATTTGCTCCTTTGTACAAAAACATGGGTGTTTTCCATCCTCTACTTCATTAAATCTTGACCTGAAAGAATAGGTGGGTATACCATTGCAGCTGTAAATCTGTACTTTCTGAAAGTCTTTCACTAGGATTGCACTGCAAAAAAGGAAAAGCAGGATGCCTAGATACTTTTAATTTTTGAAGATACAGTCAGTTTACTTATTTATTGCACTTAAGAAAAGCAAGAATGAGTGCTTTGGTCCAGTGTACAGCAAGGAAGTGTTCACGTGTGCTGTTGGTACACATACCTCTCATATTACTGCAGCTTTATCTATCTTCCACATTTTAGTAGGTACCATCTTCAAAGGGGGGGAATATTGTTGAAAGTGATCATACTTTGGTGGTTTCTGGGTTCCTCTTGCTGTCTTTGGTTAGCCTGAATTAAGGATATGGAGTGGCAGCATTGCTGGGTGAACGCTGTTTTGGTGTGGAGGTGGGTTTTTCTGTTTGGTTTTGTTTCGTTGTTGTTTTCTGAAAAATGTCAGGGAGCAGATTTTCGTATTTTGAAGAATTTCAGAGATGTCTCTTCATTACAGAAGGCCTTCTAACCAGCTGCATCTTATCAATTGCAAAGCAGCTGGATAGCTTTTGAGGTTCATATTATGCTGAGCAATTTGTTCATGTCAAATTGATCTACTGGGGTTATTTTATCTGGCTAAGTCAGCCATCTTTATAGATGCAATATGCTGAGCACAGCTTGCAGCTCTTTCCTTTAGCGCGTTTGTGTTTGCAAGGCTTTGTCCCCAGCAGAAATAGTACTTTTGCTGGGAGCTGTTTTGCTGCAGGAACAAACATCTTGCAGGACTGGTGATGTTTACTAGATATAAGAATAAGCATAGGCCAGAATTTTAGAGGGTAAGAATTGCAGAAAAAGCATGGCCGATAAACGGAAGCTTTGTAGGTGATTGAGATCTCGGGATGAAATAAGCATTAGAAAGGAACTAGGGATGACTTTTTTTTACTCAGAAGGTGGTGAGGTACTGGAACAGGCTGCCTGGAGAAGCTCTGGATGCCTCTGGTCCTGATCATCCTGATCTAATGGGTGGCCCATAGCAGGGGGATTAGAACTGAATGGTCATTAGGTCCCTTCCACTTCGAGCCATTCTATGATGTTCAATGTCAGAATTCATGCAGTTAGTACTTGCCTATGTGAAAACAGTCTGCAATGTTTCTTAAGTTCAACAGAGAAGGAATCTTTGTCTGAGA